TCAGAATATACTTCTCCCATTCCCCCCTGCGTGGTTTGCTTTTGATTAATTTTCACTACTCAAAAAGAATTTTAATAACTTCATTCTGTTGATGCCATACCTCCATTTGTGGGAGTCCTGAGGTGGTTTTACAGGCTGAGAGATAATTTCCAAGGGGGTGGAGATTAGGTGTGACTGATTAAAATTGGCCTAAAACCGCAAGCGCTAAACTCTTTAGTGGCATCCGTACACCAAGAGCTGCTAGCTATTGCTTCAGTGACAGGAGGTATGTACCACCAAAGCTGTCCTTAAAAACTAAAGGGTCTCTGAACTATTTACAAAATCTGGTTATAAAGGTGCAGATCAAAGAACAGTGTGAACAGCTGCTTAGAAAGGATGTGGTCACTGGATTTAATTACATAGAATCATAGAAAAATAGGGCTGGAAGGGCTTTGAAAGGTCATTTGTCCAATACCATGCCTAAAGCAGGATCATCCTTATCCAAATCATCCCATACAAAGCCATCGTCTAACCTCTTAGCAAAACTACACAGTTAACCCTGACCCAACACAAGACATAACACCCTAATGTGCTACAAGTAAAGCAAGGGGAACACAGCAGCCAATGTCCTGCTGCTGCAAAGATTGTTAAAATATGCTCAAGAGATCACAGGTACAGGTTCCCTGCTACAGGGGAAGGTGAAAACTCCACAGTTCATATAAATCTGACCATGGGGTAAAACTCCTCTTCTGAACCCAAATATGGTGATTGGTCTGAGCCTGAGCGGAGAGGCAAGACCTTCTAGCCAGGAACCTCCAGACTTAAGTCCCAGCAGGAGCATGGTGGAATCTGCTTTATTGCACCCTCTTTTCAGATGTATACTGTAAAACCTGGCTTGTCCAATGCCTCCTGGACTCAGCCACATGCATTTAGTGAAAAGCTCCACATGAACCTGCACTGTAGGTATCTGATGATCCTTCTGGGGCTGGCCAGGAAAGATCTACAAGACCGCACTGAGCTTAGCCCAGAGGTGGACAGCAATAGAGTTTCACCCCTGAGAAGGGACAGAAGAAATTTTACAATATGTACATTCTTAATAGGGAACTTCACAATAGAGATTCACTTTCCTTCCTTGTCTTTTAGTGCATAAGCCCACATTTGCATCATTAGAACTCAAGATGCCACCAATGACCAACTGAGCAGAAGTCAGGAAAGGAAAGGGGTTTTTCAGCATCTATCGTCTTCAAAATGAAGAGAACTGTTTGTTTTCAACCTGATGGAGAGTGCTGGCGGGGGGGGGGGAGAGGAAGAATCACATTCCAACTTTTGAATGCAGATTTTAGAAAAAGAAACAAATTAGGAATATCCCCTGATGCCAATCACATTTTTTTTAAATGAAGCAAACATTTATCATTCATTTTTTCTTAGCAAAAACATCTGAAAAAGGCAATACTGGTGCATTCCTTGCATTCATGAGTGAGACAGTAAGTAAGCTCCCCTGGGCTCACAAGAGCTTCTGCAAATCATTAGATGTAACTTCACAATGGCCCAGCTATATTAGAAGATCTATCTTATAATACACGGGCCCGGCATGGACACCTCATCCTGGTTATTTACTCAATTATAGACCCCAAAAAGATGCATATAAGGAGGCACTTGAGTCAATTTGGCAACCCTACACCATATGGGTTTATTCAACAGAGCAACCTGGTCAGGCTGGGACAAGACATTAAAAGCTAAGTGACAGAGTGTTGCCAGAGGTGAGAATTGCCAGCCTTTTCTGCCAGACATGTGAAGCCACCCCAAACTGCTTCCAGTCTAAACAGCACCAAGCTTCAGAAGGGATTCCCTGGGTTAGGTTAATTACCAGAAAACTAGTAAGACTGAAGCCTGGTTCTCTCTTTCTTTCATACACTCAGATTAGAACCCAGAAAATAAATTCTTTTTGCATTTGGCTTCCATTCCCTACCCCCATCCTCTGTACCAGTAATTCCTACCCTATTCATGATATTTCAGTCTTTTGTGATTGGAACCTTGGCCTCCTCACCTTTCTACTCTAACATTATATCATTATTAATATTTGTATTGCAATGACCTCGAGAGCCCCACACTGAGATCAGGGTGCCATAGTGCTAAAGTCTGCACAAACACATGGTGAGGGAGAGCCAGCACAAAGAAGAACTTTCAGTGCAAATAATGAAAATAAAATAGAGGCACATGGAGGTTGTGGGAACTGTAGGTCACTGACAGAGCAAGGAAATAGTGTAGGTCTCCTATTCTCTAGCATATGTGCTCTGAGCATTAAACAATTTTTCAGCTTTCATCCTCTGTACCAGGTCCCACCTGGATGAAAACCAGGAACTATTGCTGCTGACCAGTGACTTTTTCCCATTCAGCTGTGGATGCTATAAACCTTTGTGGAGCTAGGTCTTTACATATAATCAAGTTTGGTGCAGCCCATGATGCTCTGAAGCTTAGAGCAAGCACAACTAAATGGGAGCAATAGACAATCACAAAATAAGCAAGGTTTTTGGTTCCAATATGCATTAACACCCTAATTTATGAAGGTAAAACCCAATGGGAATTTCAGACATGTAAGGAGTACAGGGCTTGCTGTGATCACAATTACAGCTGATCACTCAGAATGTAAACCACCTGCCTACCTAGCCAGAGCATCTGAGACTACCAGAGTTGTCCCTCTAAACTTACAACAAGAGATCTCTGTGCTAACAGTGTGGCAATGATTAGTATATGCTGATTTATTAACAGCTTTCAAAGCAGATAATTTAGCCCATACTTTTTATATTTATGACAGAAATCACTTAAAATTTTTTTACAGAAGCTGCAGAGTAGAGCTTTGTGGCATCAACACCTAGACAGAGTAGTGATGGATACCCTTTGAATGAAATCATATTCAACTAGAGTACAAAGTCATTGAAAGCCTTTAAGCAATACAGCACTATCAACTTTTAAGGTGAAACTTAGCAAACTTTAAATAAGTTTCTAAGGTGGAAAGTGAATACGTTCTGAATATGTGCCATTAAAAAAGTCTGTTCATGGAACTGACACTTCCTAAAGTCCAGTCCTGTGGAAAAAGGACTTCTACAATATGATAATACACACACGCACTGGGCCCATCCTCATGTGATGCTATAGTGACATAGCAACGCGCTATGGCAACATGGCGTCGGCAGTCACAAACTGTGACGCCGCTGCGATGTCACCGTAGCAATGCACTCCCTCGTTATAATACATTGCTATGGCAACGTAGCAACTAAAAAGAACCATATGTGGTACACATGGCACAGTATGGGCTGTTACTGCACCATCACTCAGTGCTTCCTTTTGGAAGTGTTGAATGACAGCACAGTAACAAAGGCACCGTAGGGACATGTGTAGATATGCCCTTGGTGCATCAATCCAAAAGATGCACTACATTTAGTATTGTTGAAAATGCATCCCGTCTTACCTGGAATCTTGTCCTCTCTGCAGCATAGACCTGGTAATGAAGCATGGCCTGCAGGACTTTCTTGTGGCCATCTGGTACCAGGCAGACTGCTCCTAGGATCTCCAACACAGCAATCTTGGTTTTGATGTTCTCAGTCCGTAAGCTCTGGGAAATTATGTTAATGCTTTCTGGATGAGCTAGGACATGCGCCCGTCCCTGGGAGTTGTTCATCAATGCCTTGATACACCCTATAACAGATGTATGTATGCGGCTCTCTGAGGTCTCATAGTCCATGCTCTTCAGAAAGTTCAACAAACAGCTCAGGCCATCCAGCTCAATGAACCTGGTCACAAATCTGAAAAGGAAGAGAAGAAAATAGACTGAAGGCAAATTATACAGCAGACATCAAGTAAATGGAGCACAGAACTGTAAGAACAGACGGGTTTCTTGCCTAAAGAACTCTGGACAATCCCTGGGTTTTTTTTACACAGAATTGCATTCTGCCTGTTTATAATCCCATTATTTCTCCAGGCCTATGTACTTGGGTAATGCAGCTGTATGCCAACAAACAGCTATCTTGTTCCATTGCAATATTTGGTTCATTTTCAGTGGTTGGTGAAAAGATTCTTATATGTTAACATAAAACCTTTTTAATTGATAGACAGACACTTACATATATCCATGATTATACTGGACCTTAGTATGGATTCAAATTAATCTGAAGACTATTGTCAGCTTTAGGTCCCAGCAACTCATGATTCTGTACCCAGGATTCCTACACAAATGCACCCAGCTCCACTTTACAGCTATGTCAGATGAACTCCAGAAGGATGGTGATGCACACAGGAGGGCGGTATGCTGCTCTGGTACTAACATCACTCTTGTACCAATCCATACATTACATAAACTAGGGGTGGAGCAGACTCGTTGGTAGCCTATACCTATGTGGTATCTAAGTATAAGAATGCAAACAGATGCTTATAAGAATAGTGAAGTTGCAGAAGGGGTGGAAAGGACTAAAGCTAGGTTGGAACTCATTTTAGAGTAACTTTTCAAATCACTGGAGCTCTGAGTGAAATTTTCATAATGAGAATATATACAATTTGACTTATTTCAGGTAAAGATTATACTCCAATCTGTGGCTGGAAACCATAAAGGAAAAAAAAATCCACAGAGGCTCTATGGTTGTATTTAAAACCAAGAAAAAGCTTTAGTGGGCCAATTCATCCATTAAATCAATTCACTGAAGTCAAATAAGTCTGTTAAAGTCAGTGTAGTTAAACTAAAAATGAATTCAGTCCATTGGTTATAGCTACTTTTCATTTTGAGTTTCCAGCAGATTTAAGATTCTCAAGTCCTATGCAAAGCAAGATAACCATGACCTCATCCAGTTCTCTAAACCATTTATGTACTCCCCTACCACTCTGAAGTCTATCTGATATTACTTTAGTGATAATGGAGCCAATAGAGTTGGGTGCATGTGTGTGTCTATGCCTGTGAGAGCCTCACTCCTAGATATGAAGCACCAAGAGTTGTATAGACCTAAACCTGCCAGCGGTTTTTAGGCTAGCTTGAATACATAGCTGCCATACTATAGTCACACGTGCACTACGAACACAACGAAGTAAGGGTGAAAACCCAAGTGAATACAAAAATCGACAAACTGTTTGACCCTGTGATATACTGAAAGCACAAAAGTCTTCACACCTTTAATCCTAAGATTTCACCTAGCACTGAGTAAGGTGGTCTCTCTTACTATATATACTAAACATTTCTAGTGTGCTATCCTCTCATAAACTTCTTGACTCTCTTCATTGATATTACTGCTACAGTACATTTTCCCCCTGTATCTGTACAACCCATGTTAGGTTTAATATCTCTTCTTGGATTACAAATGAGAGGAGTAACAGTTAAGTAAAATGGACAGTGATAGGTGCACTGCCTGCTAAATCAATATCCCGCCTAATGCAAAAAAAAGTCCAGAGTCAGCCCAGATTCAGTGCAACAGCTGGCTTTACTGGATCTAGAACAACACCCTGCGTTGTACTTAATTATATGTTGCTGCCAGAGGTGAAAATTGCCAGCATTTTCTGCCAGACATGTGAAGCCACCCCAAACTGCCTATCAAGAACTAGGAGTACCAACCCAAGAAGCTCTCAATGTCTCTTCTCTACATATGAGAACACACTTAAGTTTTATTTACATATCTATTTCACAGTATCTATTGGTTACAGATATTCCAGTTCTGCTGCTGATATGTCATACGATCAATCATATGAGGAATTGCAGGGCCTACCTGAAAGATGAGCCAAATAAACTGTGGATGGCCAAAATTCAGGCTTAACTGGGCTAACATTTTCAACAAGAGCACAGACAAAACCCAGTATCCAATATTTCCAGTGGAGCTTTGTTTTGACATCTAGGCTTTGTTTAAACCTGAACTTCAAAGCAAATATCAGGATGGAAGGGAGGGGTAAACGCACATACATCAAAAAATGAACACAACAGAGTTTTCGCAAGCCCAGCTCAGCAGGACTGGCCAATTTTACACATGCCTGATTATACTAGCCTCTTGTTTGGGGTGAACCATTCTAACACTCTACCCTACAAGTCAAAGAAGCAAATGTTCCTCCCCTTTGGGACTAGAGAGAGAGAGAGAGAGAGAGAGAGATCACATTTAGTGCACTGGCAATTTAGTAAAACAGAAACACAGGACTGGAAGAGGACTCCCAAGGCATTGAGTCCACCCCTTTGCATTTTGGGGCAACTGTTTACTAAAAAATCATCTACTCCAAAACCTCATATAAGATAGCTACAAGAACACCTTGCAGCAGATGTAAAAAAACAAGTTGAGGAGGGCACTGCCATTGCCCTGCCATTGCAATGACATGAAAGTAATCGATTAGTGTATGACCAGGATTCTAAGAAGAGGAACCACAGAGAAAAGCAAAAACACTGCCAGTCCATGGGAATCTGACCAAGGGAAAATTTGTTCCTGACTGCAAATATATAACATGCTTTGCAATTTTAACTGGCTATAAGGAAACTTAAAAGCAGCTCAGTTTCTGCGACCAATTGGTGGTTAGCGTGTCTGCTGAAACTGTAATTAATGAAGTCCTGGTCAGCTCTGGGGTTTTATGCCTGCTGGGGAAACATGATCATAGGGAAAGACTATTAGCCAACTTAATTAGCCCAGGCTATCAAACATCAACAGGATGTCAATGGTTTTAAGATGCTTCTCCAGCTATAACCTGGAAGAGCCTAAAATCTACTCCAGCACAACTCTGAATGGGCTGGCACTAGTCTCTTTACATACCATGAACTCTTGAGTCCTGTCACACGTTCTCTGAATACAGGTATGCACAGTGATTTTCTACAGACTCCTTAGTGAAAACAAGGCCTTCCTTGACTAAGGCAACAACCAGTGTCAAAAACTTTGTCATTTGCACAGCTGCAGGCTTAAGCAATGGGTTAAAAACTGGTGCTGTCTTGTAGTGCAAAAAAACAAGCCTTAAAGACAGGAGCACTCCCTCCTGTTACTAGTCATTTTGACCTCCACAGTGCTGAAGACCAGGTGAAATGGCATTTGAGAAAGACATGTCACGTTCTCCTGGGTTAGTACAATACTCAAATAAATCTTTTCCAGATCAACATTGTTAGGACTCCTTGGGTGAGGTCACTCCAACAGGAGGGCAGGTACAGGAAAAAGCTGTGTGTCATAGGCCTTGATTAATAACCCAATTTTAAATAATGTTGGGATTTTCCTGTACCCTGTCTGGTTCAAGAAAGCAAAATGTTAAACTCTGTTACTCAATAGGAAGCACATCTGAGTACCTCCCCATCGCAGCTGACATTAGAAGTAGAAATAAAGTAAAGATTCATCTTCCTTTTCTAAAACAGTCAGTTGCCTGTCCTCAGAAAAAGTTAAAAATCTTATGTAAGAAAGATAAATAGAAAAACTGGGAAGTCCTGCTCTTCAGCTATCATTCTCCCTGCCTATTGTCTGGCACTCCTGTATGCATATGAGAGGGGTGGGGGGGTAGAAGATTCAACTCAGTTGAGTTCCACTCTTAGCACCATGTTCACTTGACTCTTTTCTGTATCTTGGGTATGTGTATGTAGCACAAAACAGAGTTGTTCAGAGATAGGTAAACTATTTCTTAGTTTGGATACTGAGAGTAACACAGTTGCATTAGCATGGTGCTGTGCCTGGGCTGAGAAGCAGGGTGTACTAGCGTAGGCAGATGCAATTATACTACTTCTAGGACCCAAACACCTGGGTACAACATTTCTTGGACCATGTATGTAGATCTGCTGTACGTTTGTATAGACCTGTGGGCACACATACACAATTATGCATGTCAAAGATGGGGAATGCAGGGATGACTACCAGTTTATCTGTGTCATTTATGCCCGTATCAGAACATCATCCCATATGCTCTGTATGTTACACATTAAGGCCTTGCTCTGTTCTAGGATTTAAAGGTGTGAAGTCAGCACATGTTTGCCAAAATGATCTAACACATTTTAAAGTCTAGCATAAACAAGCCAGCATTTACTTTAATAGGTGCCAAATAGGTCAAATTAAAAGCCTAAGTTGGTCCTTGGCTTTAACTCAACCAATTTAGCAGGGTGCTTTTTGGCTGCAGAGTTTCAGAGCATGGTAGTTAGAATGTGTTGGCTAACAAGTCCTAACAGCACCCCTTTTATCCCAAAACAGATCAGGCTGAGCAGAGCACTGATTTTTTTTCCCCATTGCTGTGTCTTATGTGCTCTTTTCTTCTTGTACATATCCTGCTACAGCCTCTCTGTGAGATATGACAGCTTGGGAAAGGCGGAAAGAACATACGCTGGGGGTGTGGGGAGGGCAGGATGTTCCCACCCTGCTGACAGTCAAGCCAACATTTCCCAGGCTAACTGCAGCACTGGCCTTTGGATCAGGAGACGTGCACAGCCTTGACATGCATTGGACTCCTGCCCTACCTAAAAATCTTAGCTGAATGAGCTGCACTTGCTGGATACATTAGTGATCAGCTACAACACACAGGAGTGTAACCTGGCTAAGCCCAGCCAAAATAAAGCAAGCTCAGCCTCCTTTCATTTTAAATCTAGTAAAACAGAGATGGAGAAGGGCAGAAGGGTGAAGATATTTATTGCTTATGGTGGAACCAGTTCAGACCTCTTTCTCTCCTTGGCTTTCAAACTCGATCCAAAAACCTTGGCAGGTTCCAAAAAGTTGCCTTTATTTCTACAGACGCTTTTTTTTTAATTTATTTATTTTACTGTCACAGTGATGCTGCACTTCCATATTTGAGGGCTGCAATATCAGATGAAAAGCTGCTTGTTCACTGCTTCTGGTCCAAGAATTTGTAATTACAACTGTTTACAGTAACCACCTTGTAACAGGGTGGTCTGGCCCTTTAAGGGAGGCAGACAGCCCTGGGGTAGGAGCCCAGCTGCGGGTGATTAGCTAGCAGT